CATCCTTAGCACTCTGGGAGGCCAAGGAAGGAGGATCGCTCGAGGTCAGGAGTTTGAGACCAGCCTGAGCAAGATCGAGACCTCATCTCTACTTAAAAAAAAAAAAAAAAATTAGAAAGAAATTAATTGGCCAAGTAAAAATATATAGAAAAAATGAGCCACGCATGCCTGTAGTCCCAGCTATTCGGGAGGCTGAGGCAGGAGGATCGCAGGAGTTGGCGGTTGCTGTGAGCGAGGCTGACACCATGGCACTCACTCCAGCCTGGGCAACAGAGCGAGACTCTGTCTCAAAAATCATCATCACCACTACTTCTGGCGCAGAAAAGGGCTTTCCAAATGGTAAAATCCCCAGTCCAGGATCAAAAAGTGAGGGTGTGAACAACAGCATCTCAACTCACAGGCTGCTCGGGGGCCTTGCTTAATTTCCCCCTCAACTCCACACTCCCGATTGTCCTCAGCCAAGTCACACTGGTTTAAGACGACCAAACTATTCCAGAATCGACCGGCTCAGCCTTATCGCAACCTCAGGCGCGCTTCCAGATTTTCATCCCAAAACCCTAACTGCTACACGAGTAACCAGAACCCAGCGAGGCCGGCCATTCTTGCACAGACTCCCCAAACCCCAGTTTATATGACTCTGTCACTCTAAAATCAAGATGCCTCACCCTGGGGGGAAATCCTATATAAATTCAGGATTCTGGTTAATTAAGGTTCTGCTTCATTAGTTTAAAAAAAAAAAATTTAAAAACCCACACCAAGGTTTTCCTGGCAGACGTGTAATTCCATACCGATTTTGACAGAGATGCTGAGTTTCTGTTTTTATTCGTAATCGCCTTTCGCTTGAAAGCCCAGTAGGGAGTGAGGCAAAACGGCAACCTCCAACGTTTTGGGTGCCAGGGACTGGCTTTTCATGGGAGAGGATTTTTCTGCGGGGCTGGAGGGGATGGCGTGGGGAGATTCACGGAGGCCGTGTTTACTGTGCAGTCCAGCCTGTCTGCCAATGGCGGTCCGAATCCGCAGCCGCTCCCCAGCGCTAGTAGCACCGCCTCAGCTCCACCCCAGACCGCGAGGCCCCGGGTTCTCGTAAGGCATGTGCAAACCAGACCCCTCGCACGCGCAGCTTACAGTGGGGTTCAGGCTCCCTGGAGAACCCAATGCCCCCCCTGATCTGGTGGGGGCCGGGGAGGAGAGACTTGTGCAAGAGGTAAAAGGCATCATGGATGCATTGGCAGAATGAGTTTGTTGAGGCCCAGACCTGGTGAAAGAAACTCACTCTCACCCACTGTATCTCTCGGGCAACTCCATCTCTGTGTCACTCCTCGTGGCTCCCGGCCAGGGGCAGAGGAAGGCCAGAGAGATGGAAGTTTCTAGAAGCACAAAGGGGGTAGGCTGCCTCCTCTCTCCTTGCAACTAACAGCTTAGCCACTCACTCTGGGCAGCGTTCTGGTTTATTTGGCCTTTGCTTATTGCACTTGCAATGGCTTCTAGGGAAGGATTTTGTTATGAGCTCCCAGGCAAGATTTATATATATATATATGTGTATGTATGTGTGTGTGGTGTGTGTGTGTGTGTGTGTGTGTGTGTTTTCTCTTTCTTGGCTCCATTGTGAGACCAGGGGAAATGTAAATCTAAATCATACAAATAAAAACGCACAATTCGCAGCATGAGGAACCCTCTGTTCAGCCCACACACATCACTGATTTGGGAACCAAGCAAGGTGCAAGCAAGGAAGGAAGGATTTTTAATCATGGGGAATG